GAAAGCACTGTGGTTGAAACTTGCGCGCGCAGTTGGCGCAAAGCCCTCATTCAACAAGCCAAGTGCTCGGTGGGGTGTTCCGCATGCACTGCGTTCAATGTCCACCGCCTTTTAAAGTTAATCTCCGGTGAAGGTGATGCAACGCAGGCACTCCGTACTTCGTCTTCAAACTCTTTACCAAACTTGCTCCAAGTCAAGTGAGTCCGAGCGCTGTACCGGGCCTTCTGTTTGTTCTGGCTCATAATGCGCTGCTCAAAGTCTGACAGCAGCGGCTCCTGCGCGCGCGTGCCAGAGCATTGCATCCTGTTCACTCCCTGGATCAGATGGGGTCGTTCAAACTTCGCCCCGGAAACACGCCGGAGTCTTGCTATCGTGGATGGACACTAGGTCTGATCTTTCTGAACCCAAGGTCACACTACATGTGTGGTGAAAAGGAAGTATGTACGCACAGCAAAATGTTGAGAACCCTCCCCAAAACATGTCGCACGCATTGACCCTGTCGAACTGCTCCACTGTCCGAAAGTTCCACAAGCACTTAGCAAAAAGCTCAGAAGCCTTTCACCAACGCAAGCGGCATCTCTCGCCAAGAACCTGCTGAACCGGCAAAGCCCAAAACGCAAAACGCAAAGCCCGGACTTTGAGAAGGAAACCAACCTGCAACCACAAGGGGTCTCTGGTTTTGACGCATTTCATCATGTCCGGCCGCTCCTGTGGTGATCTTGCCAGGGGGGACGGCAGCGCCATCGGGGACAGGTGCAGGCTCTGAGTGTGCGCTGGCAAGGGCTCCTGAAAATAGGCATTCGGGCCCCAAAAAATATGACAACGGTTTAAGTTGTCATTCAAACCGGACAAAATGGAACTCGGCATTTTGAGACACACATATCTATATGTATGTATGTATTTACGCTTATATATATATATATATATGTATACATTAAAACAGTCCTGTACGAGGAGACCTACCCCAAAGGAGACCTACCCCAGCATCGGCCAACGGGTCAGACAAAGGGACTGAGTGCTCGAATGGACACACTGGATCCTCACGCCAAGCCCTGGTTGGCTGCCAAGCTAAGTGGAAACCACCAAGTAATTTCGACCCGAATCCAATCGGCAAAAAAAACAAAAGCATCTGAGAACGCACCTCCCGCGTTTCCTGTCAAGTCCCCGTCCTTCACATCCAGCGCCCTTGGAGCGCAGGCGCGCTGGGGAAGAACCCCTGGTTATTTTGTATATTTGGATCGTAGATTGTGATGGGCTATGGGTTTTGACGGTGCCTTCTTCATCAACACCACGCGAACGCTGCTCGAACAGGGTTCGGCACATTTCCACGATATCAGATCACAAACCAAATTGCAAACTCGCTCAACATCGGCACCTTTTGCGTGATGTTTGCAATTACCCAGAAAAGCAGACTCGGACTCCGGTGAAATCCAGCGTTCCATGTGCATGGGGTTTGGGTGGATTTGGGCTCCAAAAGACGACCTTCGAATAGTTCAACAAAGGGAACCCTGTGGGTCTATCTCAAGATGGGGTGATTCCTCAAAATGCTCAGTTTATCCCCACATGTTCAGTTTGCCTTCGGTAGGAAACACCAAAAAAGGATGCCCTCGACAAAACGGCACACCTATTCGTGTTTCATCGCACACAGAGCCACCTTCTCAAACCCAGGGCGAGTGAAAGTTGCGGGGTTACGGGCTTGAGGACATTCCAAATCAGAAACTGGTGCAGCAGAGAAGCCCTTTTGCTTGTTTACATGGAGATGTCTTTTTTGAGTGTACCCCTTTTTGGTTGTTTTATCGGACAACCAAAACCATCGTTTTAAGGGAGTTCCCCTTACAAAATGTCATGTTTGCTTCGATCCTCTGGCGGGGTTCCATCTGGAGACGTGAGTCGCTCACGAATCTGTTGCACCCCCCTCCCCCTTGCTGGATAGGTGCAGACGAAATTCAAGGGCCCCAACTATTGGAGCTCCCGACACATTTGGGCGAACCAGCGAGGTTCATGGAGTCCGTGGTAAGACACGACAAAACCCCGAACCCATCGCAACGCCGCCCGCTCAGCCCGGCACAAAGGCGCCGCCGGCCTGCGTTGGGATCGAGGCGACGCCTTTGGGGGTGGCTGACCCGCATGGCCGAGTGGTGCCCAACCTGAGACAAGCTGCCAGTTGAAAAGCTTCTGCCCAACCGAGGAGTTGCTTAAGCAGTTACCCATGGAAGAAAGCGCTCACGTTGGCAACATCTTGCAAACAAATAATAAGCCTTTTCTTTTTTCTCGGCGGACGCCCCAAGACAACACAAATCGGGAAACTAGTCGAGTTGGTGACCAAGCTGCTTGATTTCCGCTCGGTCAAGCAGTGAGGGCCGTTGGTGCAATGGGTTTCCCGTCAAAAAAAAGGAGCTTTGATGTTGATCACTCCGTCAATGTGGGTGCGTTCCCAAGCGTTCTTGAGATTGACCAATACTTCCCTTCAAACTAACATAGCACCCGACTAGGCGACTCTGAAAGGACTATGCGCTCTTGGAGTTCCAGAGAGAGAGAGAGTGAACTTTGGGATATCGAGCCCTCCGTAATCCACCCTTCTGGTCGGTCAGAGGCTGTAGAAACCGGATGGATTTCTTCAACCCTTCGTACATTTTCACTGAGTCTGCATGCAAATGTGTGCAGTCAGTGCTTTGAACAGGGAACCTGAGGGGCCGGGGATCGTTACACTCCCTATCCCTCATATGTTTGAATTCGACACAGGCCCACTGCGAGACCTCACGCTTAGGGCAACAAATCTCTTGGCAAGTGGCGCCCAACTTCAATCCCTCTCAAAGGAAACTCGATTTTGAGGGTTTTGGGATGTCTCAGTCACCAAAACACCTAAAATATAGTGAACCTCTGCAAGCCGTGCTCCCAAGCCGACTTCGGCCGTCTCGTGTTCCACCTCCCACGTCGCGGGACGCGGGGCGCGCCTCCGATCCAGCGCCGGCGCGGGCACGGAAGGCACTTCCGGCGCCGGTGCTCTGGGCGACCTGCGGCCGGCCTTGGCTCAAGCGACTCTCGAGGATCCGATGGACGCGACGCCCGAAGCACATCAGCTCGTCTTTTTGGAGGCTCGGTACCCTTTCTGGGGTTTTTTTGGTTTTTCTCGAAAGAATGTCAAAGGGAAAACCACTGCTTTCGGGGGGGGGGGGGGTCCCTAGTTTCAGACATACCCACATCTTAGCAGATGTAAAATGTTGTCAGGATCAATGCTGGGTTCAACATCTCAAGACAAACATGCAGGCCAACAGTAGGCACAAGAGACTCTCACGGGTTTGTCTTTGTGTTCCCCTTCCAGCTCTTGGCTGTTTCAGGGCTTTCCTAGCTTTGGCTTGGGGAGAAGCCTGGCCTTTCCAAAAGGAAGATGTGGCTGTGAGCATTTGGCTTGAAGCACTGAGAAACTTTTGCCAGGCAGCTTGAGGGCTCTGGCTCGCATGCCTGCGAACTGGGGCATGTCATGCGAACCCAGCAGCCGTGAGCCATGAAGCACCTTCCAACAAGAAATAAAAATCAAAAGGAATGTGGTACCTCCAGACTTGGTCTGTGCACGTCCATACGTCCATGCCTACTGTATGCAACGACCCATCTAGACTTGGGTGAGCAGTGTACCAAACTTCCTGCCTCGAAGGACTCTCGGGCTGCACGTGCAAGGCCTAAGGATGAGACTGAAACGATCCTCACTCGAGACCCTTGGTTGACGGAAAGAAATCCAGATTTGTACTCTGGCTTGTGTACATGGGCATAGGTGGTCGGGGGGTACTGGTTCGAAATGCTCACGATCCTGGTCTTTTTTCCTTTAAAAGTTGGCAACCATAGCGCGCCCAGGTCGTGTGGCGCGTCGTCCCACAGCCGACTCGACTCGAGGCCCTCGCTGGGAGCACATGGACGCCGCGGGGGGAGGATCGGCTCTCAGCCGGATAGCCAACGTGTGGGGCAGGAGCTGGCGCCTGCGAGCCGTTCGCGCCATGAAACCGCGAGGCGCTCTGAGCTTCGCCGGTGCTTCCGTGTCTCTTGAACCATCAGATAACCATCCCTTGTGGTTTCCTCTAAGGGAATCCCTGGGTTCATTCCCTCATTCCCTCATTGCCTACTGAGCACCAGCAAGTTGGGGCACCTTTTGGACCGAGAATTCCCTTCATGGCCTGGCTCCAGGGCACACTCATGCGGCTGCGCAGTCGTCCGCCAGAGCGCCGCTGGGACTGCTGCCTGGAGAGCCAAGTGGAAAAAGTGTGCATCCAGAGTGCGCTTCGTTTCAGATCCTGCTTCAGAGCTTGTGAGAAATCATCATTCTCATCAATCTCATCATTATCATCATCATTATCATCATCATCATCAGCATCATCATCGAATCATCATTGTTATGATCTCTGTCGTCGTCAGCCTGATCATCAAACTCATGATCACCACCACCACCACCACCACCACCAACAACAACAACACCAACATGACCATCATGACCATCATGACCACCCTCATCATCATCATCGTCGTCGTCATCATCATCATCGTCGTCGTCGTCATCATCATCATCACTATCATCATCATGGCTATCATCACCGTCGTCGTCAGCCTTCTCGTCAGCCTCATGACCACCCACCACCACCACCAACACCACCACCACCATCCTCATCATCATTAACGTCGTCGTCAGCCTAATCATCATCCTCATGACAATCCACCGCCACAATCATAATCATGATCATCATCATACCACCAGCATCACCACCACCACCATCATCATCCGCAGTTCAGCATCATCAACATCACCATCATCACCGTCGTCGTCAGCCTAGTCATAATCCTCATGACCACCCACCACCACCACCACCACCAACAACACCACCATTATCCTCATCCGTCAACCTAATCGACATCCTCATGACCATCCACCGCCACCATCATCATCATGATGTTCATCATCATCAACATCACTATCATCACCACCGTCGTCCTCAGCCTAATCATAATTCTCATGACCAACCACCACTAGCACCACCACCACCACCACCACCACCACCATCATCATCATCATCATCATCATCACACCTCCACCACCACCACCACCATCATCCTCATGACCATCAACCGCCACCACCAGCACCAGCACCACCACCACCACCACCACCACCACCACCATCATCATCATCATCATCCTCATGACCATCATCATCATCATCAACATCGTCGAAAGCCTCATCGTCATCCTCATGACCCTCACAACCACCACCACCACCACCACCACCAACACCACTACATCATCATCGCCATCATCAACATTACCATCATCATCATCATAATCATCATCGCTATCATCACCACCGTCAGCCTAGCCATCATCTTCACGATCGCCACCACCACCGCCATCATCATTGTCATCAGCAGCATCGTTACGTTCGTCGTCAAGCTAATCATCTCCTCATGACCATCCACCGCCACCATCATCATCATGATCATCATCATCATAATCATCATCGCTATCATCACCACCGTCAGCCTAGCCATCATCTTCACGATCGCCACCACCACCGCCATCATCATTGTCATCAGCAGCATCGTTACGTTCGTCGTCAAGCTAATCATCTCCTCATGACCATCCACCGCCACCATCATCATCATGATCATCATCATCATAATCATCATCGCTATCATCACCACCGTCAGCCTAGCCATCATCTTCACGATCGCCACCACCACCGCCATCATCATTGTCATCAGCAGCATCGTTACGTTCGTCGTCAAGCTAATCATCTCCTCATGACCATCCACCGCCACCATCATCATCATGATCATCATCATCATAATCATCATCGCTATCATCACCACCGTCAGCCTAGCCATCATCTTCACGATCGCCACCACCACCGCCATCATCATTGTCATCAGCAGCATCGTTACGTTCGTCGTCAAGCTAATCATCTCCTCATGACCATCCACCGCCACCATCATCATCATGATCACCATCATAATAATCATCATCGCTATCATCACCACCGTCAGCCTAGCCATCATCTTCACGATCGCCACCACCACCGCCATCATCATTGTCATCAGCAGCATCGTTACGTTCGTCGTCAAGCTAATCATCTCCTCATGACCATCCACCGCCACCATCATCATCATGATCATCATCATGTTCATCATCATGACACCTCCACACCACCACCACCACTACCACCACTACCACCACCACCACCATCATCATCATCACGTGAGAGGGCATCCAGCAACGGGACCGCTCACACGCCCCACACTCCCACGTCGCTTGCCTGCTGGAGCGCGTGCCCCGGCGCACGCCAGGGGAGGTGGAAGCCTGAAGGCTGTGGGTCAAAGGTCATGAAATGGCGGAAAATCCAAGCAGGGATATCACACAATGAAGAGTCTTTCTTGATCCAGAAGCAATCTTGTTACCGTGGAAATCCTGATGAGGTCAGCAAAGTATGCGAAATCACCATCTCGACGCAAAAACTTCTCCACAATGAATCGCTTCCATAGAATTGGTCGTTGGCAACGTCTGGACCTGTCAACGATGGCGTTGACAATGTACCAAGACCCAGTTCATCCGCCAGTGGGTGAAATCAAGAGCGGGAAGCGGGCCGGGGCCCTGCTGGCTCAAGTGTCTCGGACACCTACCACACATTTTAGGTCAAAGCTCGAGCAGCCTGACAAACTGGATGTGCCGATCGGATTTCAGTACTTTCCGGCAGATAGAGTTCTTTCCACAACATAAAGCGCATGGAGCCCGGGCGTCCTCCTGATTTGGTTATAACTTCTGATAAGCCCGACTTCTGATGGGGCCGAAGGCCAAAAGAGAAAATGTGGGAATGGACCATGAGGAGAGGGAGGTTCTTGAAGAGGCCATTTGCTGCAACATGCGCAGCTTCCATAGCGCTAAAAAGCGCCGCTGTACTGGCAGGGGCCTATACAAGTGCCCATTATTTACAAGTGCCACAAGTATTAAAACCCCGCCACATTTAGGGGGCCCCGGTGTCTTCTGCAAACCATCTTGTCTCAACACATTATTTTTTCGGAAAACCCCACGAACCCCAGCCATTTCAGCAGACCTTCCCGGTCGCCTTGGCCTTTGAGGGCGCTGACAGCGCCCGCTGGAGCTGTTCCAGGTCTGACGCCTCGTCCAAAGGGGGGTGCCTTTTCCCTGTGGTCTGAATCCCGAAAAAGGGGACAGCAGTTTATCAATCCAAACTCGACCAGTCCTGCTTTATCCGGGAAGTTCCCATTCAGTTAGCTGGAAAGAAAGGGCAGCGAAAGGGTAAGGCATCCCACTCAAACGGACGCTGAGTTCCTTCATTGCACAAAGTTCTCAGCCAGGCTGGTTGGGTCCAACAGCTCCGTGCTTTGCTCAATGCAAGGCACCATGATGCTCCTAGTATGGGAAGGGACCATCGGTAAATCAACGGGTGTAGGAACCGTTTAGGTGCAATGGTGCCTAAAGTCGGAGACTCCCTCCAATGGATTCTCTGGAATGTGTTCCTCTGAAACCCGTCCACAAAAGTCACTGATTCCAGCATGAGGTCAGGCGGTGCCGCGGTAGTGTTCAAATCCAGAATGACAAATCCGGCGGTCTCTAAGATCCAACTTCAATCGCTGGCGCAGCAAGCAAACCAGTGGCAACATGGCAGGCCCTCGACACAAAACAAAGCCGCCAAGCATCGGGATCAGGTTTGCATTTGATGGCCTGGACTCCCTATGTGTGCATCTGAGTCATCTAGCACCTCGCCTTCTGCTCCAATGCCTTTGCTTCCCGTGGCTCTTCTTGTGCGCTCCGGATTTTCACCTGGCTCGAGTCATTCGCTGGGGCCCCCACCTTTCCGATTCTACCCTCCGAAGTAGGTGCTCTTTCAAGATGTGCCCCAAAGAGGAATCCCTAGCTTGGGACATATGCCAACTGCACAGTGTCAGAGTGCACATTCCTACCTCAGTGCGGTTTTCTCGTCAAAGATTTCTGGACCGACCTCAATGCTCACAAACAAGAACAAAGCAAATTGAGGTATATGGCGTTCTTTCACCAAGGGTGTCGCATTCGGTCAGGCTGTTTGGAAGCTACTTTCAAGTTTTCAAGGCACCACTGACAAACCAAAACGGAATATAACAATAACAAACAAGCAACGAAACAATCAAACAGCTTTGGGGTCCCCTCAGAATGGACCTCATAGTGTGGTGGATCGCTTTGGTTCTTTGGTTCTGTCTGTGTTGCTGCTTGCAAACTCAAGTTTGGTAACACTACAACCAGCATGATATGCAGAACACCAAGGGCGCTGGGGTGTATAGTCCCACCAAGACGATTGTCCGCGAGCACAAGAAGGAGTCCGCAGAACACCACCCAAACATGCGAAGAGCAAAGCATTGTAGCTTCAAACATAAATATTGATTCAAGTTTCATGATCTGAAAATAGGGAGAAAAAAAAAACACTCTCACAGCATCTTGATTTGTTAATCATGTTCATAGCCCACTTCATATGAATCCCTGTACTGGTTTACCGAAACGGGTCCAATAACCAGCCCCGCCATTACAAAAAACAGTTGTTGCGACCACTGAAGAGGGGGTAGGTTTGGGCGTCTCATTCTCTGAGGGCTTTCAAAGGGGGTCAAATGGAAACCACCCATTTTGAGGTTCCCTCATGAGACAAACCTGCTTCAAGCTTCCAGGCGTGCATGCAGAGTCCACGCCTGCAGCTTTTGGAGTCGACTCTTCATCTCGGTCTGCGCCCTGACATGGCAGTGCTATGGAGTTCGTCCACTGCAACCCTGTCAGCCAATTTCACGGGGTCTGTGTTTAAGGAAAACCCGAAAGGGATGGAACTAACCATTTTCGTGGATGCCAACTATTGGCAAAAACTGGGCTGCGACTCCAGGCAAGGTTGCGCGCCTGCGCAACTGGAGGTTCTCCTCATGCAGGTCATCCTTGGCCTAGGTTTCATGGAAGCAACAATCCCTCGAGCACACCGACTACCTTTAAATTGTACTTATTAGGGTCTGTTTAGGGTCGGTTTGCGAATTGGACTTGGTTTTCGTGGCTGAACACAAAGAACAGGGGGAAAAGGGAGTGACTGAGAGACACTGTTGGGTCATGGTCTCACCAAGTAAAGCATTCGAGGCCCCATCGCGCTCCTCAATGATGTTGGTCCTCACCTGCATGACAGCTGCATGTTGCCGAGTATCCCAGTTGAGCACGTCATCTAGGCATCCCACACAACTCACATGACTTACATGACCTACATGACCTACATGACTCACATGCCACTCAAGCTTGCGATCAATCATGGCACACAACTCTCAGTGCCAAAGCATGTCCGTGCATACAACCCTGCATTCAGCGAAATCTCAAGTGGTTGATTGTTTCCTCACACAGCCGGAGGCTGAAAGGATCCGTTTTTGAAGATCATCCTGTGCAGCGGTGCATTTCTGCCCGCGTCATCTAGGAATGCCACGCAACTCACATGACTTACATGCACCTCAAGCTTAAGTTTCACAACAGCACGCAACTCTTAGCGCCAAAGCGTGCCCGTGCGTACAACCCTGCATTCAGAGAAATCTCAAGTGGTTGATTGGTTCCTCACACAGCCGGAGGCTGATCGGATCCGTTTTTGAAGATCGTCATTTAGGCATCCAACGCAACTCACATCCCTCACATGCGCCTCCAACAGTCAGAGAAATGGTTGTTTGCTTCCTCACACAGCCAAAGGCTGAAAGGAAGATCATCCTGTGCAGCTGTGCGTGTCTGCCCCATGTCATCGCAACTGACATGACTCACATGCACCTCAACCTTCAGTTCAGCACTGACACACCACTCTTAGTGCCAAAACATGCCCGTGCATGCAATGCTACATTCAGAGAAATCTCATGTGGTTGATTGTTTCCTCACGCAGCCGGAGGCTGAAAGGATCCGTTTTTGAAGATCATCCTGTGCAGCGGTGAATTTCTGCCCGCGTCATCTAGGAATGCCACGCAACTCACATGACTTGCATGCACCTCAAGCTTAAGTTTCACAACAACCGCAACTCTTAGCGCCAAAGCGTGCCCGTGCGTACAACCCTGCATTGAGAGAAATCTCAAGTGGTTGATTGGTTCCTCACACAGCCGAAGGCTGATCGGATCCGTTTTTGAAGATCATCCTGTGCAGCTGTGCGTGTCTGCCCACGTCATTTAGGCATCCAACGCACCTCACATCCCTCACATGCGCCTCCAACCTCAAGTTCAGCAGTGGCACACCACTCTTAGTGCCAAACCATGCCCGTGCATGCAATGCTACATTCAGAGAAATCTCATGTGGTTGATTGTTTCCTCACACAGCCGAAGGCTGAAAGGATCCGTTTTTGAAGATCATCCTGTGCAGCTTTGCGTGTCTGCCCCACGTCCTCGCAACTGACATGACTCACATGCGCCTCAACCTGCAGTTCAGCACTGACACACCACTCTTAGTGCCAAAACATGCCCGTGCATGCAACCCTGCATTCAGAAAAAATATCATTTGGTTGATTGTTTCCTCACAAAGCCGGAGGCTGAAAGGATCCGTGATTGAAGATCATTCTGTGCAGCGTTGCCTTCTGCCCGCAACATCTAGGCCTCCTACACACCTCACATGACTCACATGCACCTCAACCTTAAGTTTCACAATAGCACACAACTCTTAGTGCCAAAACATGCCCGTGCATACAACCCTGCATTCAGAGAAATCTCAAGTGGTTGATTGGTTCCTCACGCAGCCGGAGGCTGAAAGGATCCGTTTTTGAAGATCATCCTGTGCAGCGGTGCATTTCTGCCCGCGTCATCTAGGAATCCAACGCACCTCACATGACTCACATGCACCTCAAGCTTAAGTTTCACAACAGCACGCAACTCTTAGCGCCAAAGCGTGCCCGTGCGTACAACCCTGCATTCAGAGAAATCTCAAGTGGTTGATTGGTTCCTCACACAGCCGAAGGCTGAAAGGATCCGTTTTTGAAGATCATCCTGTGCAGCTTTGCGTGTCTGCCCCACGTCCTCGCAACTGACATGACTCACATGCGCCTCAACCTGCAGTTCAGCACTGACACACCACTCTTAGTGCCAAAACATGCCCGTGCATGCAACCCTGCATTCAGAAAAAATATCATTTGGTTGATTGTTTCCTCACAAAGCCGGAGGCTGAAAGGATCCGTGATTGAAGATCATTCTGTGCAGCGTTGCCTTCTGCCCGCAACATCTAGGCCTCCTACACACCTCACATGACTCACATGCACCTCAACCTTAAGTTTCACAATAGCACACAACTCTTAGTGCCAAAACATGCCCGTGCATACAACCCTGCATTCAGAGAAATCTCAAGTGGTTGATTGGTTCCTCACGCAGCCGGAGGCTGAAAGGATCCGTTTTTGAAGATCATCCTGTGCAACTGTGCGTGTCTGCCCGCGTCATCTAGGAACTCAACGCAACTCACACGACTTACATGCACCTCAAGCTTAAGTTTCACAATAGCACACAACTCTTAGTGCCAAAACATGCCCGTGCATACAACCCTGCATTCAGAGAAATCTCATGTGGTTGATTGTTTCCTCACACAGCCAAGGAGGCTGAAAGGATCCGTTTTTGAAGATCATCCTGTGCAGCGTTGAATTTCTGCCCGCGGCATCTAGGAATCCCACGCAACTCACATGACTTACATGCACCTCAAGCTTAAGTTTCACAATAGCACACAACTCTTAGTGCCAAAGCATGCTCGTGCGTACAACCCTGCATTCAGAGAAATCTCATGTGGTTGTTTGTTTCCTCACACAGCCGAAGGCTGAAAGGATCCGTTTTTGAAGATCATCCTGTGCAGCTTTGCGTGTCTACCCCACGTCATCGCAACTGACATGACTCACATGCACCTCAACCGTGTGTTCAATGCTGACCAAAAACTCTTATTGCCAAAACCATGCCCGTGCATGCAACCCTGCATTCAGAGAAATCTCATGTGGTTGATTGTTTCCTCACACGGCCAAGAAGGCTGAAAGGATCCGTTTTTGAAGATCATCCTGTGCAGCATTGTGCTTCTGCCAACGTCAGCTAGGTATCCCGGGGAACTGACACAACGTACATGCACCACAGGCTTACGTTCAATAATGGCACTCCACTCTTAGTGCCAAAGCATGCCCGTGCATGCAATGCTACATTCGGAGAAATCTCATGTGGTTGATTGTTTCCTCACACAGCCGGAGGCTGAAAGGATCTGTTTTTGAAGATCATCCTGTGCAGCGTTGAATTTCTGCCCGCGTCATCTAGGAATCCCACGCAACTCACATGACTTGCATGCACCTCAAGCCTAAGTTCCACAATGGCACACAATTCTTAGTGCCAAAGCATGCCCTACATACAACCCTGCATTCAGAGAAATCTCAAGTGCTTGATTGGTTCCTCACACACCCGGAGGCTGAAAGGATCCGTTTTTGAAGATCATCCTGTGCAGCGGTGCATTTCTGCCCGCGTCAACTAGGAATCCAATGCAACTCACATGACTTACATGCACCTCAAGCTTAAGTTTCACAATAGCACACAACTCTTAGTGCCAAAACATGCCCGTGCATACAACCCTGCATTCAGAGAAATCTCAAGTGGTTGATTGGTTCCTCACACAGCCGGAGGCTGAAAGGATCCGTTTTTGAACATCATCCTGTGCAGCATTGCGCTTCTGCCAACGTCATCTAGGTATCCTCGGGGAACTGACACGACGTACATGCACCTCAGGCTTACGTTTAATAATGGCACTTAGTGCCCCCGTGCATGCAATGCTACATTCAGAGAAATCTCATGTGGTTGATTGTTTCCTCACACAGCCGGAGGCTGAAAGGATCCGTTTTTGAAGATCATCCTGTGCAGCGTTGAATTTCTGCCCGCGTCATCTAGGAATCCCACGCAACTCACATGACTTGCATGCACCTCAAGCTTAAGTTTCACAATAGCACACAACTCTTAGTGCCAAAGCATGCTCGTGCGTACAACCCTGCATTCAGAGAAATCTCATGTGGTTGTTTGTTTCCTCACACAGCCGAAGGCTGAAAGGATCCGTTTTTGAAGATCATCCTGTGCAGCTTTGCGTGTCTACCCCACGTCATCGCAACTGACATGACTCACATGCACCTCAACCGTGTGTTCAATGCTGACCTACAACTCTTAGTGCCAAACCATGCCCGTTTACGCAATGCTGCATTCAGAAAAATATCATGCGGTTGATTGTTTCCTCACACAGCCAAGGAGGCTGAAAGGATCCTTTTTTGAAGATCATCCTGTGCAGCATTGCGCTTCTGCCAACGTCATCTAGGTATCTTCGGGGAACTGACACGGCGTACATGCACCTCAGGCTTACGTTTAATAATGGCACTTAGTGCCCCCGTGCATGCAATGCTACATTCAGAGAAATCTCATGTGGTTGATTGTTTCCTCACACAGCCGGAGGCTGAAAGGATCTGTTTTTGAAGATCATCCTGTGCAGCGTTGAATTTCTGCCCGCGGCATCTAGGAATCCCACGCAACTCACATGACTTGCATGCACCTCAAGCTTACGTTCCACAATGGCACACAATTCTTAGTGCCAAAGAATGCCAGTGCATACAACCCTGCATTCAGAGAAATCTCAAGTGGTTGATTGGTTCCTCACACAGCCGGAGGCTGAAAGGATCCGTTTTTGAAGATCATCCTGTGCAGCGGTGCATTTCTGCCCGCGTCATCTAGGAATGCCACGCAACTCACATGACTTACATGCACCTCAAGCTTAAGTTTCACAATAGCACACAACTCTTAGTGCCAAAGCATGCCCGTGCATACAACCCTGCATTCAGAGAAATCTCATGTGGTTGATTGGTTCCTCACACAGCCGGAGGCTGAAAGGATCCGTTTTTGAAGATCATCATGTGCAGCATTGCGATTCTGCCAACGTCATCTAGGTATTCCGGGGAACTGACACGACGTACATGCACCTCAGGCTTACGTTTAATAATGGCACTTAGTGCCCCCGTGCATGCAATGCTACATTCAGAGAAATCTCATGTGGTTGATTGTTTCCTCACACAGCCGGAGGCTGAAAGGATCCGTTTTTGAAGATCATCCTGTGCAGCGTTGAATTTCTGCCCGCGTCATCTAGGAATCCCACGCAACTCACATGACGTAGATGCACCTCAAGCTTAAGTTTCACAATAGCACACAACTCTTAGTGCCAAAGCATGCCCGTGCATACAACCCTGCATTCAGAGAAATCTCAAGTGGTTGATTGGTTCCTCACACAGCCGGAGGCTGAAAGGATCCGTTTTTGAAGATCATCCTGTGCAGCGTTGAATTTCTGCCCGCGTCATCTAGGAATCCCACGCAACTCACATGACTTACATGCACCTCAAGCTTACGTTCCACAATGGCACACAACTCTTAGTGCCAAACCATGCCCAGCTACGCAATGCTGCATTCAGAGAAATCTCATGTGGTTGATTGTTTCCTCACACAGCCAAGGAGGCTGAAAGGATCCGTTTTTGAAGATCATCCTGTGCAGCGTTGAATTTCTGCCCGCGGCATCTAGGAATCCCACGCAACTCACATGACTTACATGCACCTCAAGCTTAAGTTTCACAATAGCACACAACTCTTAGTGCCAAAGCATGCTCGTGCGTACAACCCTGCATTCAGAGAAATCTCATGTGGTTGTTTGTTTCCTCACACAGCCGAAGGCTGAAAGGATCCGTTTTTGAAGATCATCCTGTGCAGCTTTGCGTGTCTACCCCACGTCATCGCAACTGACATGACTCACATGCACCTCAACCGTGTGTTCAATGCTGACCAAAAACTCTTATTGCCAAAACCATGCCCGTGCATGCAACCCTGCATTCAGAGAAATCTCATGTGGTTGATTGTTTCCTCACACGGCCAAGAAGGCTGAAAGGATCCGTTTTTGAAGATCATCCTGTGCAGCATTGTGCTTCTGCCAACGTCAGCTAGGTATCCCGGGGAACTGACACAACGTACATGCACCACAGGCTTACGTTCAATAATGGCACTCCACTCTTAGTGCCAAAGCATGCCCGTGCATGCAATGCTACATTCGGAGAAATCTCATGTGGTTGATTGTTTCCTCACAGAGCCGGAAGCTGAAAGGATCCGCTTTTGCAAATCATCCCGTGCAGCGGTTCGTGTCTGACCCGGTTGATTGCTTCCTCTCACAGCCTGGTGGGCGAACGTATCTGTATCAGCGCGCACGTTTCAGCGTGGGGTCCTCCCGAGTTTGTCGCAAGCCTCTCTTAACCACCACCACTCACAACCTGGACGCAGCGCCCATGCTACCTGTGGCTGTGAGACCCTTTTGTGGAGTCCTCTTGGGACCCTGTGGCAGGCTAGCACGAAACCATCGGTCACTGGCCCAGTCACTTCCCAGCAAGCGGCGGCCTTCGCGAGGCCTCCACCTCCGACTGATCGCCTGACCGGGACTGCTAGTTGAAGCAATGGAGTCCATCTCGTGTCCCAACCAAATGTCGGGTGGCTGCCCATGCACCAATGCCAGTCTCTGCTTAGTCTCAATCCTCTTTTCAACTTTGTCTTTGTTCGAATTGTCAAAGCTACAATACAGGAATCGCATCAAGCACATCACATCAAACCCATCTGGCACCATGTCGCTCGCTCGCTCCCTTGCCCGCCTGGAATGCCCGCGCCCCAGCGGCGCGCCCCGAGGCCTTGCATATGATCCGCGGGACGCCAGTTTGGTTCCATGTTTTTTGCGCTGCCGGCGATGCCCTCGACTGCAGAAAGGGAAAACGGGTCCTGTCTCCGGTTCACAGCCTCCATTCCTTAAGTCTGAAACCCCCGGAAAGACTCACTGCTTGGTAAGCGACCCAAAAGCCAAGCCGCCTGCTCGCTTCCCCGATTAGAGTGATGAGAGACCCGCCTCTCCGAGTGCACGCTGCGCCGCGCGACAGGGAGACCATAAGCCGCTCCTGGGGCTGAGGTGGCATATGGAGGGCCAAGTCTAAGGAATGGGAAGGGCAAGCGCCTGAAATATGATGACCAAAGAGTCATCCAACAGACAGAGAGCCAGTGATTGCCAAATCTTTGGAAGCGGCTTTGAAACAGCATCGTGTCCAAATCCGACGTGGGGCACGGGTTCAGCCAAACGGCTCAGACTCTCATTGGCAGTGTTGCGAGTGGTATGGCCCTGCGTCAGCGAGTCATGCGAACGTGTGCCAAACCAACACGAGCACAGAGCTCTTGGAATTAAAGATAAACCTGTAAACAACATCAGAACAAGTAGCTGCAAAGATTGCTATTTGAGATCATTGGTTGTTGGGAAACTATCAGGCTGGCACCTCTGCCAAGCTGGTTGTATCTTGCAATGGTCCATGTGAACCCACATGAAATTGGCCAACAGGGGCTTGGGCCACCGCTCGATTCGAATCATGGCCTTCAAGGCCCCAGGTCCTCGCTCAAGCGGCGCATCCGCATAGCCGCCATAGCCCGCGTAGCCTTGGAAGCCTGAGGCCGAGAGGGCAAACCCCTTGGAACCTGTTTGCACCGCTGTTTCCACAACCTCTCCGTCCTGAGTGGAGGGCCCGTTGGGATTCGTGAACCGATCTCTCGGCTGGCCGAAACTGCATCGGCCTGAGGAGATCCTGAATGAGTTTGACGCTGGGCGCCTTCTGAAAACTTGCGTGCGTCTCGCCAAATGGAGACCCTGTTTCGGGGCGGGCATCTTCTTTACATGCCCCGTGAAATGGAGGCAGCAAGCCTTGAAGAAAACTCGTGTCCTCGCTGACATGCCCTTTGAGGCTCCAGCTTTCCATGCGCCCGGTCTGCGCGGATTCAAGGGTTCAAGGCATAACCATTTAACGTCAGCTTCCCCTCATTAAGGGATTCGAACCCCTCTTGCGGAGGGTGAATAAGAAACCACCCCTAACCTCCAAACCACCAGTTAGGGGGAAGCTGAATTTGAGCACATGTGATGCAAACAATTTCCAGAGCGCAGTTTGGCAATGCCTCCAAACCGAAAACGAAGTTCAAGCGATGCCAGCCTGCTTCTCAGGGCCTACGCGGGCGGAGAACATCGGCTTTCCACCTTCCCTTCTGCAGTCACAAGCTGGGACTCTGACAGAGCAAAGGGAGGGCCCTGTAGCTTATTGGTCAAAGATTGAAGCCAAAGCCACCAAATCAATCTCTCACCCTTCGGAAATCGTCCTCCGATCTCTCTCCGTCTCATATGAGGCTCCCGCGCAGACCTCCTCTGCCCTTGGCTGACAGCGGATGCCAAAAGTTTGTGGGCCCTTCAAGCGGCTGGCTTCGCCTGGTTTCTCGGTCAAATCATCCAAAAGAGGTTCCCCCCCCATCCTGAGATGCATTTGGTAGGGCCCGCCATTTCCAGCTTCATCCGCTCCTTTCAGTGAGGACCTTGCAGGCTCCCAACGTGTCCTCAACGCCTGGGAAGCACTGGGATGCGGACCACCAGCTGCTGGAGCATCGCATCGTCGTGCTGCGCCTGGCAAGTCTGCCTTCAAAAAGTCAGGACCATGGTCTCCGGAAAGCTACAGGGAAATCCACGGGAGGTCTCTTTTTTTGGGGGTAGATATTTGGCAGTAGAACTTCCTGTAGCTGGCTTCTACGAATGAGGAAAGCGTGTCCACCGCTCATTGCCCAACGTGGTATCTAACCCCGGCGTGCATATCACATTTGCCCCAAGAGTAGCTGTTGGGGGGTAGCAAACATCCTCTCAGCAACAGGACAATCCCAGTGGACTACTGCGCGGAAGCTCCAAACTTCAATGCGCGAGCGAAGTCAAGTATATGTGATGTGTCCTCGAAGTATAGCCCCACCCCTTTCAGTTGTTTGTGGGAAACCAAAAGCACACCCTCTTGATTTGTTGGCCTACGTGTTCTTGCAGCAATACTGACAGGTGCTTACACAAGCAAGATCCTGCCAAAATTCCAAAGCTCGCCAGAGGTTCGACAGCCCCCAATGCCCAGCCCCAGCTAAAGCGTGGCAATGGTCAAAGCTGCTTATGTGGGTTCTGCTCACGGCTTCCTGATTGTCAAGCCTCAGTCAAAGGATCTAGACTAGCTTTCCCCCGCAAGCCCGAGTACAGCGGTCTTTTGACCAATTCTCGGCGGTTTGCTGCGCTGAAAGCCCGAATGCACAGACTACTTGAAAGCTCGGCTCTGCCGAGTGCTACATGGAGCTGCAAGGCCAACTTTCCAGGCCGGAGCGCTGCAGTTCGCAGCAGGCTAGCGCCAGCCCATGTCCAGCACGCAAACTCGTCACAATCAATTGTCACGCGCACCCGCGCCGTGTGTTGATCTATTATGGTGATGGTCATATAAATTGAAACATGCTATATATATATAGAATGTATAGCATGAGTGTATATAAGTATGCATACTTCCATCATGATGTGTCTTGTTTGAACAGCGACATGGGCAGTCGGGAACTCGTGAAAGTCAGTCTTCACCGTCGTGAACCTGGGCGATCCCCACCACCAGGAAAGAAACTGAAGCATAAACTGCAAAAGGCTGTCTTTTTAAGCTTTAGCTGAAGTACGCAAAGGTTCTCTTTCAAGCTACTTGTGGCCGAGCAGAGGTGTGACAAGAACTCGCTCAGGCAGACTGTTGGGTGGTCAACCATCAAGCTAATTAACTAGCCGAGTACCTAGCTGATTAACCGACCAGCCTAGGTACGTAGCTATCTAGCAAACTAACTAGCCTGACTGAATAGCTAACTTGCCAATATGTTAACCAACTAGCCAGCCGATTAGCTAAGGAGCTACTTAGCTACCTAGCCGAAGAGTTGAATAAATAGCTGACCAGTTTGCTCTCTAGCTAATTTTAACAAATCTCACTGACTAGTAGAGAATTAGCTAACCACCGAACTAGCTGACCAGCTGGCTAGCTACCCAGCCAAACAACACACTAGCCAAAAGGTCCAGTAGCGCACTCTTGCAACTCCCCCCCCCTTCCATTCACCGGGTAAACTTGTCGCCACACGTTCAGTAAAACCGGCGGGAACGGCGCCTTGCAGGCTGGCGCTGGTCCGGCCATTGAAACCTGCCAAGTTGGGGCCTCATGGGCGTTGGGTTTCAGAACAGTTGACAAGGCGCATCACAAGTTCAATCTTGAAACCTGCCAAAAACGAGGTCCGACCCCCTCCAAGTGACAACTGCGTCCCACTCAAAAGGTTTGCTCAGGTCCACTCCCGCGGGACCCGCCCTGCCTGGCGTTGGAGCTCCTCGGCCTCTTTCAAGCGCCGGCATGCGATCCAGTGGCGCCAGGCAGCCAAGGGAAACCACTCAGGGAACCTCCTGGTGACCTGGTAGTCACTGGGATCATCGGACGTCCGGAAATTTGGGTGATGCGCATGCCAGAGTCCGCCATTTGCCAAAAGCGTCCGCACCGGCGGGAAACAAAATCTCAGCGCTTCAAAAAAAGTAGAACTCGAAGACCTTTCCGCTAGTCTAGCCACCAGCCAACCCAAGGGAGCCGGTTGATTCCCTTCGCCTGCAAGGGGCGCCAGTGCCAAAGACCGGACCGCCGCAAAGGCGACCTGGCGAAGAGGGCTGGAGCAGCCCAGAGAGTCCATGCAAGCCTTGCAAACCCAAAACCTCTTTTTCGAAAGGCCTGAAAAATTGGGCCATTTGCAATGTGGCAGCAAAAAAAACAAGAGATGTATGATGGCAACCAGCGAAGGGGCAGCTCTTCAAAAGCCATTGGGAGCTTGTGGCAGCATTGATTCGCTCAAACCTCAGGTGGCCGTTGATGAATTCAGTTCGTTCGACTGGAAATAGTGCGAAAGCCCAGAAATGCAAGAAGTGGCGGAATGAGCCCCCTTTTGAGACCGTTTCTGGCTATCCAACATGCTCTCAATTGAGGCGTATCGTACACAGGCATGGCAACAATCGTCGTCGTGAGGGCCTCTGCTGCTGCGGCCACAGACTCATTCTGAGTCGCCTCGGATGGAGGCGCTGCTTGTGCCTCAGTACTCGTGGATTGGGGAAGCTTTGGCGGTTCATCCATCGCTTCTCTTCAAAAAGCGGTTGCTTTTTCTTGGGTGTCCTGGGCTTTCCTGCAAAGCATCTTCGGAAAGAATGAGGAAGTCACCCCTACGGACACATCTTTACCAGGGCAATGGCATTTCAAGAACTGTCGGCTTGCAGATTTGATTTGGAGAAGCTGTATCTGTGTTACAGACTGAAGCCGACGCCAAGCAAAAAGGGAAAGCCCGGTTGTCGCTTGCTCAGTACACCATTGAGAGCATTGGCAGCAGCTGGGCCTGGCACCACTGCTGGAGGGACCAAGACCTTGGCTTCTGTATCCATTACGGAAAGCCACCTGATACGACGGGCTCTACCTCGCTGGCAGTGCCCACATTCCTCAAGCCGGAACCGAAAGACAACAAACTGAACATCTACAACCCAGAGTCAAGGAGATGTCTTCAGATATCAAAAGTAAATGGAGTACCCTCAGAAGAAGGAAGGACGGCTATGGGGCAAAACCCACATCGTACCCCAGGCTGAACATCCCCATCCCCACTAAAATAGGTTCTATGGGTGGGGAATTCACCTACCAGCCAACATGGGACTCCATTGGTGTTGACAGCCATATTCACCTGGAAAGTACCCGTGGCTCTGCAGCTCCTCCCCGGGCTCTCCCCCCATTTCCAGCCCCACTCAGGCGCTGGCAGTGAGGAGCCCGTTGGCAGGCAAAGGCTCGCCGACGGCGTTGCCTCTCAAGGCTGGGAGCCAACCAAGGGGTCTCAATGGCAAAAGGATGGCGCCCGGCGTACTGGAATACCATCCTACGTTTTTAGTTGTTGCTCTTTTCTTCGTGACAGATAGTAGAGTTGTCAGTTGCTTGCAATGACGGATGCCATGTTTCCCAAGAGTTGGTTGAAGGTGCCTGAAAGCCACTGTTGTTTGGCATGAAAAAGTTGAGCTTCCAATAGCAAAAAAAGACAATGGTCGGTTGGCTACTCCCTGAGCGGCCGGTGCGTGCAGGCTTCAATGAATCGACTCAGGGCCCAGCGTGGAACGACCCCAAACGGAGAGAAGCTGTGGTTTGGCGAGTGGCAATCCTGCAGCAACGAGCGACTGCATACGCAAGCAGATCAAGACTTGGTGTGCGCTCCTGGCGGTTCTTGTAACAGTCAGCACCTTGCATGGGATCGAATTCGGCAGGTTGAGAGCAAATGGTTCAGCTGAAAGGTCACAGCTGGGCCCACCACACATCACAAAGTCGTCACACTCCTTGCACCGGTAGCAGTCCCCAACAAGTGGGGAAAGAGAACCTCGGCCAGCTACACTAGGCCGGCAAGCAAAGACACTCTGCAACATGGCCACACACAACAGCAAATGAGCCCACATATCTGCCAATGCGGGCAAACCGTGGTACCTGAGTCTGTGTGGAGTCTATCCTTCCTCAGAGTGTGCTGGGGCTGCTCAGCGCCTTCACATCCATGGCCGTGGTCCCATGTGCCCAAACTCAGCCATTTCCGTGAACAAGGGCGCCGGCAAGAGCCGCAGCTGAGCCCAAAGTGGACGGCCTCGCCGCGGCGCATGGACCTGGCAGCCAAGTCACTGGCTTCGGTGGCAGGCCTGGAAGGAAACCCAACTGGCCAACCACAGTTGCATCCATTGGCCCAATGACGTCTGGCATCCAAAGGCCACAGCGGTACAGCGTATTGTGCTGTCAAAAACCCACGGTTGGGCCAACCACCTCAATGCTGAAGTCACAAAGCAAAGCAGGCCGAGTGTGCCCGACCCATCTCCGGCGCTCAGCTGCCTGCTCCAAAGGCGGCTGCTTGAATAAGCAAAGGGGGGCAACTATTTGGGAAACGAGGCACTTGGGGAACCAAAGTCTGATATCAAAATGGCCTATGGATCTACAAGGGCAGCGCCTTCCACATGTTTGGTATGGCTGGGAATGTCTCCCACTACGACAAACACAAACCAACACCCGTTCTCCCAAGAGTCCCTGTAAGAGCACCTTTCTGAAGACTACGTGCGCGCTGCTGTTCCGATCAAATCCGTGATGACGCACAGACTTTTTGGCGCCGTCGCTGCCACCAGAGCGAGTTCTAGTGGAGCCTGTCCACTTGACTTGCAATGGTTGCTAGCGTCTCTCAGTGCCTCTGCAGGAGGTTAGGCGCTTCCGTGTTTGCGGCACGCCCACTCCCCGCGAACAAAGGGGCCCTGCGCAGCTTGAGAAACAGCATGCATTTACGCAAGGTGCCGTGCAGACTGCCGCACAGAAAACTCCTAGAATCAGTTTGCCCAGGGTGTCACGGAGTCCCCGGCCATGGCTGTGTGTCGCGCAAGCATCCGGGGTACCGTCAGCTGGTTCGGCTCCACCGACTCGATGGTCAGGTTATCACAAAGCGCTGTCACGCCGTCCGCGATGTCCTTGCCAATGCCGACGAGCTGACCCGTAGTCGTGTTCTTGTAGGCGTACTGGGGCCAATCCACGTCCATGCCAAACCTCAAGGGTACGCCGC